AAGACTTAGTTTAATGTACACCTTTCTCTTGAACACGGAATGTTACTTCCATTTTAATAATTTGATATAGGAAGGAAGGTATTTCTAAATTGTTAAGATGAAAATTGTATCATAAATATTTTTACATTTAATATTTTGATATTAATATTTTTGATTGTATTACACTATAAATTACTTCTATATGATGTCCATGGATTAAACCAATCTTTTAACCCCAAAGTAATCATTGCTTTCCATACTATAGTATGTATATGTTCATGATACTTATCATGGCAGATGTCTCTGATGTTCTGTTTATGACCCCATAAACAAATAAGATTGAGTTATAAAAATTCGTCATTATCAAAGTAATTTCTATATTATAATGAGTAATTATGTTAAATTCTGTACTTCTCAGACAGGTGGTAAATAACTTAGAGAAGAGGGAAGACCTAAAGAATAAATGTCACAATTCTCATTCTTGTGGAGATTGAGGATTTTTTAAAATATTTACTTAGAAAATTAAGAACTTAAAACTGAAGTAATTAATATTTGATTTATTAGTCATGTTTTGATGTCTGGTTTATTGACATCCATTGATAACAAAGTAGTTTAATTAAATGTTGAATGTAATTCTCTGAAAATATGTAACATACACGCTTTGACTTGCCTACAGCGGGGTTAAAAATATGTCTGTTGTATAGTATATTTTTATTTTAGATATAAAGACCAGTGTGAACATTTGTTGTGGAAGCCATTTTCCAGATTACCATCTCTTGAAACAAGAAGATCCATTTAAAGAAGTTATGAAATCTTCAAAACTAAACAGTGATGTTTGTGGAAAAACAACTTTAAAAGGATGTAACATAAAACAAACTAATATACATGAAGGTGATGATAAACCATACAGTTATGGAAAAGAAAGTGTAACTTTGGATAACGTAAAACAAGATGAGATAATACCGTACGGAAAGAAACTATACAGATGTGAAGTTTGTAGTAAACAATTTAGGTTTAATGGTGAATTGATAAAACATAAACAAATACATACTGGGGATAAACCTTATAGTTGTGCAACTTGTGGAAAACAGTTTAGAAAAAATGGGGATTTAAAACTACATCAAAGAATACATACTGGGGAGAAACCTTACAGTTGTAATGTTTGTGGAAAAGACTTTGCAAGTAGCAGTAACTTAAGAATACATGAACAAACACATACTGGACTGAAACCTTTCTCTTGTGTAGTATGTGATAAACAATTTAGAACAAATTATGCATTAAAATATCATAAAAAAATACATACTGGTGAGAAACCTTACACCTGTGTAGTATGTCATAAACAGTTTAGAACAATATATGCATTAAAATATCATAAAAAGATACATACTGGGGAGAATGCAGTATGTGTTAAACAGTTTAGAAAAATTTATGCATTAAAATGTAAAAATATAGGTAGTGGTGAGAAAACTTACAGTTGTGATGTTTGTAAAAAACATTTTCATACAAGTTATGGGTTAAAAGTACATCAAAGAATACATACTGGGGAGAAACCTTACAGTTGTAATGTTTGTGGAAGACAATTTGGAACTAGTGGTAACTTAAAAAGACATGAACAAACACATCTTTCAGAAAAGCTTTACGGTTGTTCAGTTTGTAAAAAACATTTTCATACAAGTAATGGGTTAAAAGTACATCAAAGAATACATACTGGGGAGAGACCTTACAGTTGTAATGTTTGTGGAAGACAATTTATAACTAATGGTAACTTAAAAAGACATGAACAAACACATTTTTCAGAAAAGCTTTACAGTTGTTCAGTTTGTGAAAAATACTTTCAAACAAATAATGGATTAAAAATTCATGAAAGAAGACATACTGGGGAGAAACCTTACAGTTGTTTAGTTTGTGGAAGAGACTTTAGAATAAATTGGGAATTAAAAAAACATCAAAGAATACATACTGGAGAGAAACCTTATAGTTGTAACTTTTGTGGAAAACAATTTAGAAATAATGCAACCTTAAAAGATCATGAACGAATACATACTGGGGAGAAACCCTACAGTTGTGAAGTATGTGGTAAACAGTTTAGAACAAGTAATACAGTAAAATATCATGAAAGAATACATACTGGGGAGAAACCTTACTGTTGTACAATTTGTGGAAAAGATTTTAAATCATCTTGTGACTTAATAACACACACAAAAAAACACACTATGGAAAAACCTTATTGTTGTTTAGTTTGTGAGAAACAGTTTCGAACAAGTAACGAATTAAAACAACATGAAAGAAGACATACTGAGGAGAAACCTTACTGTTGTGATGTTTGTGGAAAAGACTTTAAAACAAATGCTGAATTAAAAAGACATAAAAGAATACATACTGGGGAGAAACCTTACAGTTGTAAATTTTGTGGAAAACAAGTTGGAACTAGCGATAGCTTAAAAATACATCAAAGAATACATACTGGGGAGAAACCTTACAGTTGTAACTTTTGTGGAAAACAATTTCCAAGTAATTGTAACTTAAAACAACATGAACGAAGACATACTGGGTTGAAACCTTACAGTTGTACAATTTGTAAAAAAGACTTTAGAACAAACCAAGAATTAAAAATACATCAAAGAATACATACTGGAGAGAAACCTTACAGTTGTGACATTTGTGGGAAACAGTTTAGAAGTAACTGTAGCTTAAAAAAACATGAACGAATACATACTGGGCTGAAACCTTACACTTGTGTAATATGTGATAAACAGTTTAAAAC